GATTCTCGTATATACAGTGTGTGCGACTAAAACCCGCAACACCGATCAATTTCATATTCTGACATTGCCTTGTATTCTTATAATTATTTGAAACATGTGTACATGTATTTGAAAACAAACAAAATTTTGTAGTAAATAGCGCTATTCATCAAATTGATACAAGACAAGCAAACATCTTCTTTCATGTACCATTTGCTGAATTTTAAATATCTTCTGTTGCTCCAAACTATATTGGGCCCAAAATGTTCATCGAAAGAAAAACAAATGATTTATTATTATTATTATTAATAATAATAATTTGGAAACCATCGACCAATTTCAAAAAACAAAAATTCAATAATATAGTATCAAATCTGAAGTATTCAGGCACAGCTGAAGTGAGTTTATTCAAAATTTCAATGCAATATCTTATATAGGGTGTTAGTTTTTCAATGGCAGATTTCAAAATTATTGTTAATCGATCACCTTGTAATAAAATCAAAGAAGTTGGTATAACCAGTGAGGTCGTCATTAAATCAAGAAACACTGAATCTTTCACAGGAAGATGTCTCTAGGTAAATCAAAACAAAAATCAGTTAAACTAAAGTTGAAGTTCACTATTTTAAAAATTCGAATAAACCGTTTTTCACACACTTCCCCACATAGTATCTTTGAAAATCGTTCCGATTGATAAAAATTTGTCGAATATAACACGAATAGAATGACAGACATACACTCTGGAATATTATAAAAATTTCCTTTCGTGCGCTTCAAGAGATAAAAAAGATATACGATGCCTGATATGATCATGATATTATACCGATTTTTGAGAAATGGAATGAAACTCTGAGAAGACAATGAAAATTTTATGGCGAATATGTCATCGAAAGTAATGAGTTATAGTTACCTACCATTATTGATATTTTCAGGAAAACAAAGATGGATCCTGATAAAGAGTTCTCAACTTCAATTTCATTGATTTTCTGTTGACATAGAGAGATATTCCTGTGGAAGTTATGATGATGAAATTTCGAATCTGAGTATTTGATGTGTGTTCCTCTATTCAATGACTACTTCACCAGTTACATCGACTGCTTATATTTGGGTGTATAATAAATGAAAAATATCAGAATAACTATCACCCTATATGTGTTTTGTTTGGAGGCATTTTAGCTATGCCTAGATCGAATAGGCTAGTCAGTGTTTCGACAAAAAAATTCCTAATAGTCGTATTTTGGAATTTCGGCCCCTTCAACAAACGGAAGTAGTCCTTGAAAATCTGAATATTTCAGATTTGTCAACATCGCATTGGGCTCGTTGACTACTATATTATGAAATCGCATACACTGTATACATACAGCACTAGCTGACAGAAGGAGCTGCTGCTGCGCTGAAATACTGAAATACTCACCAGGGAATGAGATAATGTTTCGTAGCTTGGGTATAGAATTTCTCTCACGATTTAACCTCTCGTTCATATTAACAGTGATACCAGTAGGGTGTCGTAAGGAGTTAGTAAGAATGCCTACACAGAAGAAAACACACACACCCACTCTCACCCTCACACACACCAACAAAATGTAGGTATACTGCTACTATTTTCTCAAAGACTGTTCGCAAAGGAAATGAGTTCTTCCAGTTGGTTCTGTTTGTTATGTGACCTGCTTGTTTCCATTTTCTCCTGCATAGTGACGAAGCGGAATATCCAAAATAAACGTAATCCTTGAACAAGCATGTCGATTGCCGGTTGAACGATTCCAACTCTGGCAGATTTTATAGTTTCAATCTCGAAACCTCATTCTTTTTCTCTATAGGTTATATACTAAACGACACCGCGTGAATTCTAATATATATACCATTTTCATTGCGGGATATTGAAGGAGGATGGCGAATATGAGCTTTTCGTCCCTCCGATTCGAGTTGTCCTTAGTCTCAGGGTGTTTTGTTAAGAATAATATTTATACAGAAACCTACCATTCTTACAATATTATTGTTCAGACCGGAACAATTATATACGAGTAAACTAACCTCAGTCGAAAGGTACTCAGTTTGGGCACTATAGACGTCTCGAAAATTATTATTTTCCAATTGTTTCTGCTTCATAACTTTGGAACGGATGATGAAATCTTATTCAAATTTCATATATTGGCATACCTTGATGGAGCAATAAAAGTTAATAAAACCCATATCATCATCGAGATAAACATCATGTCATGATGGGCATAGAACTTGATTTTTTCAGTTAATATACAACTTAAACTCATACGCAAAAGTGAAATAGAGTTTCAGTATGAAGTTTGGATTGCGCAACTCATTTACTACAAAATAGGTACTCCTGATAAAATTCGATTACTCTCATGGTTTCGACTAAATTAGAATTCTAGTGATTCAGAGCATAGAAATATTGAAACTATGAACAGAGATTTCATAAAATTTTTCAGAATATTCATCATTTTCACGTACAGACGCAAAAAATTTGAATGTAACCCTTGCCTAAAGGTAACTTTTTCATCGCCGCTATGATTATTATTTGTTGCTTTCTGGTTCTGGTTTCTGATTCTGGTTATCACATTAATCACAGGTGTCTTGTAGATCGTAGACTCGAGATATTATAATTTAAAAATTATCTTCTGGTGATGAAAGTAGGGAGAACGTGGGTGGCTACTGTTAGTTCAAGTTATTCCTAACATCTACTGAAAAATGTTATGGAGCTCGGTCGTTCATATCTACCCGATGTTGAAGAACTAAATCGTACAAGAAAATCGAAAACGTATTATGTGAATGTCGCCCTGTTAATCTTTGTGGAAGAATGACAGTAACAACAATAAAACTATCTATCATTACAAGTGAATCATTAATTTCGAATTCGTTTTGAGAAGGTTTATTTTAATCGAATGGGGATTCCCAACCGCATAAGCGTGTTCATCAATCAATAAACTTGCAAAACATCAGTCCATTTTCTGGATCATGGATTGAAAAATCTTAATCTGGCATCTTGTGGTATGGATATAATAATTATTGTATCTCAGAAACGACATTTTTCAGTATCTATCCACCTGAACTTTTTTCATCATGGTGTTCCATAATCACCAGTTCTAAGAGCAAAATAACTGGTCTCTCTAAGACGTCTCACAAGTAGCAGCAAAGGTTTGGGTGGCTTGGTACGGAAAATGGATTACATCGAATATTTCACAACTAACATTTTCGACCAAATAAGAGCCTTATTTTGTACAAACTTTAGCTGAATGAGATTGAGCTATACCAAATCGACTTCTCATTATTTTATTCAACTTATGTTGTACAATTATTTTTTATTCAACCTTAGATTAGATAGGAATGGGGCCTTCGGGCTATCTGCCTCCACACTGCGACCTTTTCAGATCTATTGTGCCTGCCCTCAAAATGGATTAGAGTTCGTCGGCTAGCCCCGCCTTCTCTATGAGACTCCATAGGCTAGCTTTCAGATCTCCTGTGTATCTCTGGGCTCCTGGTTTTTCCTCACCCAGCGTAAGGAACCTTAGTCTTGACAAGCCCTCACAGTGGCAAAGTATGTGTACTGCAGTTTCTTCCTCTTCTTGACAGAACCTGCACAGCAGTTCTTCAGTCAGACCTATCGTACTCATGTGTTTGTTGAGCCTACAATGCCCTGTGAGAAGTCCCACTAGTATTCTAGTTGAACTTCGTTTCTGGCTTAGTAGATATTCTGTGAATGTTGGCGATGGTTTTTTAATAAACTCTTTTGCCTGTCTCATTCCTGGCGAGTTGTTCCACCATTCTTGAGATTTAGTTTGCATCCATGATTTGATACTAGTCTTTTGTATAGCTTTCGCAATACCACAGAAGGATTCTGGGCCATTAAGAGCTTTGTTTGCTCCTGCTCGGGCAAGTGAGTCTGCCTCTTCATTGCCCTCGTACCCTGTATGTGCTGGTACCCATACTAGAGTCAATCTGTTCTGACTGCCCAGTGCATTTAGAGTTTCTAAGCAGTCCCATACTAGTTTTGAGTTAACTTGCATAGAGTTGACTGCTTTGATTGCCGCCTGGCTATCTGAATAGATTGCAATGGTTTTGCCTTCAAACTTTATTCAACCTTATAAGATTCCGTTGAAAAATTCCATCGATACTAATTGGAGTTTCTTGTGAGGAACTATATGTCTACCAACTTTCGCGTAAATCTTATGCCTGTATTTTTCAAATAATATTTCGCTGTGGAGGTTTCTAATCGAATACCACTCTACTACAGATGGAAACTGGGACGAATATTCAGATAATTTTCAAAAAATTCATGTTCTCGATATAATTCCCGGTACTGATTGAAGCTCTTGTGGTATTATAAGTGAATGCACCATGACATTCTCTCGAGCGTTTCCTCTAGAATATCGAACTACGCAATAACATATCGTTGTATATCGTTGGTGTATTAATTATCATACGGCCATGATGGATCAGAAAAGTCCGAGTTATCTGATTATTGAAAGGTAGCTCGAGTCTCTGAACATCAATGAAACTCGACAATTTAACGTAGGTGAAACCATGGAAAACGAGAATAAGAACATTATTGCGATATTTTTGACAAAACGTACCCAATATTCATCAAAATTCAAATGCTGTTGAAACCTTGAGAGTAATCGAATTTTATCGAGTTCCTTTTCTATAGTAAACAAGTTGCGTAATCTGAATTTCATTCTCCACCTCATTTGATTTATATTCAGGTACCTACTGAAAAAATAAGATCTACGACCATGAAATCATATTTTCATGCTTATTATAATACTTATGGGTTTCATTGTCCACCTCCGTAAACGTATCGTAACGTACCAAATGTGAATGAAATCTCATGAGCCGTTTCAAAGTTATGAAGCAAAACGGATTTGAAAATTGTGACCTGTTTGCTTGTATCGAATTGTTTTGGTCTGAGGAATAATATGTGGTAGGTATTTGTGAAAACATTTTGAGAACACTCTGTATACTGATTATTATGTAACCTGTTGCAATCTTGCATATAACTTATAATTATTCTTCCTGATATCACTCATTTTGTTTCAGCTCCACAGCCAGTGATCTTATATCCAGGAGAGGCGTTTTCTCTAGAAGATATTATGGATCTGTCGAACAGGTATGAAAACTATCCGAAATGGAATCACGTTCTTAGATAATATATTATGTTTCCATGGTATGTAACACGCACAAAAAAGAGAAATGGAGAAAATCTCTGAATTGAAATTTGTGATTCAATTCAACATTTCACTGCATCTATAAGGAACTTCGCAAACTTCTGATTGAATTAATCAGTACTAGATGTCGAATAACTCTACTTCTGATAAGACAAATCAGTTTTCAGTTGAAGAAGTGAAATAACACACCAAGAAAATGTTTCCTTCTGAAAATTTATATACTTATAGAAGTGAATGAAATTCTTGAATGAAAGATACAGAGATACCTCATTCAACTATCTATATACAGGGTGTAATTTAATTGATGGCTGAAGATATAGGATATGGTTCCTCAGCTCATTTTATGAAGAAAAGTCAATATGAACTTATTCCATAAACTTCTTAAATATGAGGTGTTAACATTTTATTTTCTCTTAATTGATTAAAGAAACTTTCACAATGTGAAAAATTAGCACGTTCATGGATACTTGTTAAAATAAGACCGCAACGTAATCGATCAAATGTCATCATTTCACATACAAAATAGGGCATTAGACTACTAGTTCGAAATAATTTCGTAATGCCATAAATGCGTAAACATGTTTTAAATTTGTTTATTTCTGACAGTGACATTATAAGCTTATATCGTTATAGTTACGATATCTATTATGAGGGTCATAACTCCCTTGGGATGTTATAGATGCTATAATTCCCTCTAGCTAAAATTAAATAAGAAATGCATAGCAACAACCACGCAATAACGTAGCAATAAGGAATCTCCTATTCGCGGTAGTCAAGATCATCATCTGACGTTCTGATGACATTGAAACTATACGGAAAAACATGTCTAACTTCCAATCGGGAAGGTATCTAATGAATTAAATCAGTCAGAAATAAAATTATCTATGTATCACGGGAATTATAGAGCCTCAATAACCTCTGGCAATTGCTGTCCCTCGGGCCAGAGGCCCTCGGGACGCAAACTTTGCCATCGGTAATTAAGGCCCTCATAATTCCCTTAATACATAAATAACTATAACGCGAAAACAGTTTGTTCAGACGGAAAAAAATCAAGAGGTCAAATTGTTGGAAACAGGCGTACAATAGTTTTTTCCAAAAATCTCCAGGATACCTTCCTTACGCCACTAGTACAGTATTGAAAAATCTCCTGCATCGAAAAATGCCTATTGGTGCATTGTAGGTGCATGTGAAATTTCATGAACATATCTCGAACGGTATTGAAGTTATGATAGGAGAACGATTTTTTTCTTAAAATTTCAACACCCTGAAGGTTGAAAGGTAGAAGGTTTAGGCCATAGGTTTATATCAACTTCTCTTCTCAAAATGAGCTTAAGAACTATATCCTCCATTTTCAGTCATCAATTGAATTACACCTCGTATATTTCAAGAATCTTTAATGCTTTCATAGAGTTTGAATTGCAGATGTATTATTCTTTAGAGAACATGCAATCTTGGAATGAGAGAATAGCATTCTTGAGCTGAATACATAAACCTAAATCGATTTTTTCTGCAACCGACACAAAAGTCGTCCATTTTGATACCAAAATTAGCTCTTAAATTGACGTTTCTATTACTGACACAAAAATAGGTATGTTGCTAGGCAACATATTTAGTTCCTAGGAGCTAAAGTTGAATTTTAGTTCCTAGGAGCTAACGATGAACTTTAGCTCCTAGGAACTAAAAAGGATGTGCTGGACGTCATCAAGAATGAAAAACATTGTGACGGTTGGTTATTTGGGTTGAGTCGCATACCTGATTTGTTTCCGATTTCATATACACCTTATTATAGTTTAGTATTGGAATTATAAACATCTCAGCTGAGTATTTTTGTTTGATCAGGAGAGCCTTCAAGATTCAAATACATGCTTGATCTGTATTTCATTCGTTATTCTCGGGATGGATAACTTGTTTTTGAATAATCACGGCAAGCAATAGTTTTTAGTCTCAAACAACGATATTGTTTAGCTCCATTCGATTATCAAGTCAAACACAGTGTAGTATGGAGAGGAATGAATAATCACCATTATCATTGTTGATATGCTCACTAACCTAACATTTTTCACGTCTTGTTCCAATAGCTGGCACTAGCGCGGTATTTGCCATTAGAGCACCTGGTCCATACACAAATATATTATGTTACTCTGTGGTTGTATTCATATTGAAACTACAATTCGAACATCCTTGAAAATCTAACCTGCTGTTAATGCAGGTAAAATATTCTTACCTCATGGATTATTTGTCAATATTTGTTGCATTGCATACATATGGCACGGCATTGGTGGTTACTTCACATGTTTATTCGAGTTAATTGTTTCGGTTGCAGAAAAAATAGCATGTTTCATTCGGATCAAAAGTGACTTTGTTCGACTCGCAAATTTTGCTTTCGCTCGGCTTCGCTAAACGCTCCGCCTCGCAAATGCAAAATTCGCTTGTCAAACAAAGTGTCACTTTTGATCCTAATAAAACAATCTACTATTTCCTTCATTGGTTTGTAAATCATATGTCGACTGATTTCACGAAAGTGTCCTACTTGATACCTCGCAATAAACCAATACTACCAAGCACCACCAAGTACCTACCTACTCGATAGTAAATTTGACCTTGGCACGTCGCCACAGACGTCTTTACGTATTTTGTAGTCGAGGCAAAAAGTACCAATGATAAGCACAATGCAGATATTTTTTCAAAACTAACGCTCTAACGCAAAGCATTTCAGCGTTATATCTATTCATATATAATAGGTAGGTTTATCCTCGTGTATACCTGTTATCACTCATACCTCGAACATTTTTAATTGATTCCAGTTCCTAAAATGTTCACTCTCGGAGAAGTTCACTCATCAGTATATTCATTTTGCCATCGCTAGAAATTGTGTAGTACCAAAACACAACAAACCACAGAACTTCTTCAAACACACGACACAAACGACAACGAATGCACTTCGTTTACCGCCTTCAAATAGAAATGTCGTCTCCCACTCAAAGATTTTGTAATATCAAAAAACGAATTTCATTCAAAACAGAAATCTCCACACTCTTAGAGATGATCTTGAATTCCTGAAATAATGAGAGCTAGATCTTTCAAACATAACTCATGGGATAAATTGAAATGAGACATATTTTCTTCAAATAACAAATGATACGTAAATTTCAATATATCACTGTTGAATCCGGAGAAGAATATGATTTCTCATCTAGAGCGATATACACTCTCCTCAAGATTTTCGAGTGTCTTATAAAGAACGAATTGAGCTCTTTCAAGTAAAATAGAAGCCTTGCATAAGAACAATATATGTCTACTTAGATCAAGTTGTTCATTGCACCAGTAGGAAATATTTCATTTCTCACTTCGAAGTGGTAGCACGTTTCGAAATTAAAGTCACCAAGATCTTGTTTCAAAGTCTTTTGATTTCAGACAAGTTATTCGAGTGTTCTGTTAAAGTGAATGATCAAGAAAATATATTTCTCGATATACGAGATTGGGTTCTTTCAATTGGATGTGGAGTTTGCGACTTGAAGAAGTGAAAGATAATATTTTCAAGCAAGTGCACTATCTTCTTCAAACATTCACTTTTTACTGTGTAGGTATACATCTTAGATCACTCAAAATCGACCATAGTTTCAATATCTCTATATCTTTCCTCCTATCAGTAGTTCATCATGACTCCAAATCGTTATAGAATAATCACATGCATTGATTTCGTCTTCTTGAAGTTTTGCTGGAAATGATAACGGTCGCAAACAATGACATACCTAAGTATCATATTGATTTCAGTACTATCCTCTATAATATGTAATATCCTTTCTGGAAGATATTGGGTAGAAAGATTCCAGATACTTTTTTATCTGATTTCAAGGTTCTTTCAAGTCTTTCCTATACTTCATTTGTAAATAGTTCTCCATTCATCAACCAGTCGTCATTTTGCTACAAGAATTTCGTAAGACAGAATAAGCAGATTTCAATAGCAGGAGATTACTACATTCTCGATATTCTAGTTGAAAAATTGTTGATTCACTCACAATGACTGAATTCGCAGCATGGGAAGAATTTCAACATCGATACTTGAGCACGTTCTTGCTATGAATCCGTGTTTTCGTAATATCGAGACTGATGTTATCTATGGCATACTCGCGTGAAAATAGTAATTAAACGTATATACACCCACCCATTTTGTTGGTGAATAGCATGCATGTGAATTCAACATCGGGGTTACTTTTTGTGCTCTATGTCGGAAGTTCCTACAGGATTTCCTGTGAAAATCAAAAAGTTGGCAGGCTTTATCAATTCAAGGTTCATATATGAATTCACTATACAGGGTGAGTCAAAATGAGACAGACAAACTTCGTGTACGGATTCCTTACCTCATTTTGAGGTAAACAATTACTATCAACGTATTTCCTAAAATGCATCCTCTCTTAGATGCAGGTTGTCATGAGAACAAAAAAATGAAGTTCATGATAATTTGTTCGAAACCCCTATAGAAAAATAATTGAATCTTGATAAACTATTCCAGATGAATTGACATAGAGTTTTCATTCTCAAACTCTATATCGCCACATTTTCCTTGATATTTTTCTTAAACAGAGAAATTATCAAATTGGTAAACAACATCAGTTATATCTTGGCGAACGGAATGATTGTAGTATTTTTCTACGAGCGTGCGCAAAGAAGTACTTTTTCACACTCATTTGCGTGCGCAAAGTAATACTTTCTCGCAGGCTCATCGATACTTAAGCTGAAAGTAATGACATTCCACATGTCTAAATATAGAGGTTCTCGAGATATTTGCGAAAAACTAAAGATATGTTGATGTAATATGGACTGGAGACCCAATTTGCTGAGTGTCATGATATATCATAACGCTGATCTTTATCGAGAAATAAAAAAATGTCTTGATCTCCTGAACCTCTTAGAATGCTGGGAACAATGAGAACATAGTACGAGGTGAGTCAGAAGTATATCAAAAAAATCACTTTCCATTCCACATATTAATTGAAGCTGAATAGTCCATATTGAATGTCTCAAAGATGCAACCTGTTTGAGATACTATAGTTGTTAACAAAATTGAGCATCAAAAAGTTTTCCTGAAATACGTAGCAATATTACATCAAGATATATATTTTGTTATTCACCAATATCTCTGGAACCTTTACATTCAGGCATGTGGAATGTCTTTACTTTCAGGTTGAGAATCAGTAATAGGTAATAATATGTATTATGCTATCAACCCATTCAAGTTAATCCGTTACACCGTATTTTAATGTAGATATTGTGCCTAATTGCCGAAAATGAAGGTTTATCGAACCTTTCCACAGGTAACCAATCCTTCAGGTTGGGAAAGTAGGATATATAAAAGTTAAGCAAGCCAAGGTTAGTTTAGTTAATTGTACCAATTGTATATCACCTGACAAAGCTACTGTGTTAGCAAAACGTCGTGTGTTTGAGAATTTTGTGGAAATCTTATCGTTTGTGGAATGTCTACATTTTTTGTAATCGACTATTTTGAAATACAATTGATACTTTTTTAAATACGAGTGATTGATCTTGAATATATAATTGACGCGTTCTGCAATACAAAGGACTATTCTGAAATACAATTATTGAAGCTTCCTGAAATACAAATGACTATTCTGAAATACAATTGACTCTTCCTGGAATTCAATTAATGACAATTATGGAATGCAATTGATACTTTCCAAAATACAAGTGACTATTCTGAAATAACATTTACGCTTTCTGAAATTGAATTGACGCTTTCTGGAATACAACTGGAACAGATGTAGTGAACATTTGATCGTCTTATAATTGTGTTATTATCGTACACTAGTTTCTAGTCAGATTCCACTTTGACTTTTCTTTTTCAGTTGCAGCAACCTGAAGTCGACGGTCAAGAAAATTGTAGAAGATTTAGGATTGAAAATGGTGATTCTCCAGGTGAAAAAGATGAGGTAAATATAATATGATGATTGCATCAATGTTGAGAATAAGATACTATATGGTAGGAAATTCTGAAGTGAAAGAGTCCCTTACTGATTCATCAGAGGTTCATGAAGAACTAAAAGAGTCATCTACCTGAAACTTCGGTTGTATAACTTCTAAATAATTCTATCGAAAAATTCTGACAATTAGGTAGGTTCATTCTTTGTTTACACTTCATCAAAGTATCCTAGCAGGAGGCCTTGATATAGTAACGCGTAAAGATGAAGTGATGTTTGGTATTTCAGTCAGCTTTTTAAACATTTGAAATAGGAACTGAACACACCGCACTGCTCTTCACGTGTCGTGCTTCTGGCTTCCGTTGACGAGAAACTGATTCGATCTTAAAAGATTTGAAAATTATATAAATCATATTCGTAGCGACAATGAAAGAAACATTCCTGCGCTAGAACAATCGTGAATACTTATCACTCTCCAGCAAAAAAATGACCACACTGAAATATTTTGTAAAATGTTCCCAAAAATTTGTTCTCACAGTTATTATCGAATTGAATTTGTTTGTGTTATTGATTGTTTTCTTGAGCCAATTTGTGAACCCCCATCAATTACCAATTACCTTTTTCAACCTGTAACAACTCTCTATCTGAAATATAGTTATTTTCCTAACAAGTGCGCAAAGTATTACTTTTCCGCACTCAAGTACCTACAGTTAGTAGTGGAGTGAAATTCTTCAAAGGAAAAAAGGAATGCTCTAAGTCATCTCCACACATTCTAATATGGTGTTGATACACAATCATAAGGGACATGTATCGGTCTTATAAAAAGCCATCTCCAGCCTAATTGAAATTTCTACAATACCAAAAGATTGATCTGAAAAAATTACATAGTTTGTTCTTGACTTACTTGGAGTTGAAAAAATGTGATGGCACTAATTGTGGAAACGGAGCGATTTCAGACTGAGATGCTTATTTTGACCTCAGGAATGAATGCTGAGATGTTGTACAGACCTTTTAGGAACACCCTGTTTACCTCAGTACGTCAAAGGGATCGTGGATCACGTGATGATGCGAACGACTACACCATTAAAATTTCATTCATCGATATTATTTTCATCGACATTCCATAAAAGCAAAGCATGAGTAAGTATCCAATTTACAGGCCAATTATCGCTGTTTTTGATGAAAACATTCTATGATGTAACGAGACTAGATTGAGCTTCTTAGTATCATTCTGAAATCAACCCGTAAATTATTAATTTGAGTATGAAGGTTAGTCAACAAAACAGTTTCGATGGAAATTATGTGATATCATATTTCTTTAAGATGCCAAAGAAGTGTATCAGATATTTATACTCTTGAGTCAACTGATTCAAAACACACAGGTACCGCTAGAAATATGAATTTGAAGATTATTTAAAATTTGTCATACGATATTTCACTCATTTCCTTTTTGCAATCACAAATCCTCTGCATAAGAGACACGCAAAACAACAGACCGTACAATGACAAAACACGGAATAGTATACTGTATACTACATAACGAGAGTTGTAAAACGCATATCACACACGAGGTAGAGAAGGTGCGTGATTGTTTAACAACTCGAATTATTCTTGTATATTTCATTGGTAAATTGCATAACGAACCATTTTTCTCAATATGAACTAAACTGAAGCCGTTTTTCTTATCTTAACAACATTATTCATAACAGAAAATACATTCGATTCAGATAAAAATGTATCAAAAGTAATGGTTATTTATAGTCACTGTGCAGTTGTTGAATGCATAGATCTAAATATGTTGAAAGTAACAGAATATTTTCCGAAAATGATATTATTCCTGGGTAATTTTTTGTAAGCCATTCACGAGACTTCACGGGTAGCAATTTATGTGCTGCAATTTTTGCTTTTTCCAGGATTTCTGGTGGTTTAGAAATAATCTCATCGACATCGATTGACATTCATTAACTAAAATTGAAAAATAGCAACCAAAGATAATCAAACAATATTATTTGCCTGCTTTCGGTTCCGATTGATAACTTGATTTATTGATAAAAAGAAAAGTATTACCTACCTAGTTATACTGACATTAACAGAAATAATTGACAAATCGCTCTAGAAGCACATTGTTTTTGTACGTACTTTATCATTCATCACTTACAATGATAATAGTCGTAGAAAAAATTACGAATAACAGAACTCCAGAGGTTCGAATCCTTACATCATGCCATCGAAAATTCAGAGTTGCGATGACAATAATTCTATACAGGCTGATTCACGGTGAATGGCACATTACGTTTCTGAAGAACGCAACGTAGGATTATTTTGAAAATTTGGTTCCCTAGACAATTATTTGTGTTCTATCGACCTGAAATATTCTCATTGCTGCGACGTTGCCGCTTATATTGAAAAGTAGCAACAACTTTAATTTTGTTAATGGGACACTCTGCATATGATTCCATTTTCAGATTTTTCCTGAAGAGCTGATTGCATCGATCTATCACACTTGGGGTCTAGCGGGAATGACAACAAGGATATAGGGTGTGAAAAATCGATATTTTTTGTGTCGAAACTATTCATAATAATTGGTCAAAACGGTTTCCATGTCCCTATCTCAACTTTTCATGTACTATCAATTGATATTCAATTGAAATAGATACAGGGTGGTCAGAAATCTTAATTCTGAACCAACCTTTTTTTTATGTTCGGTTCCGAAAAGGGATATCCTGTAATGTTTAGAGAACATCGTGAGAACCAACGAAAATAAGGGAGGAATTGGTGTTCTTCTCAAATTTCTGAAGGTTATATGACTCGGGGAACACCTCCCTTGGCAATGTGTTTCAGAGCCTCGATGTTCGTTGGATGAACGAGTTTTTCAAAAGATATGTTCCGCAGGTCTCCAAAGTGACCACGAAGGGGTTCGAAGCCTCAACGAGACGGGTTAATCTCGCAGGGGCTGCATAGGGAGGAACAATTGTTGATATTTCAGAAGAGCATCGTCCATGAAAATATCTATAAAATAGAGCCAGATCGCCAACTTTTCTACGGCGTTCCAGAAAAATGAGTGAGTTTGTGAGCGAGGCATCACCCACGAGACGAATTGCCTTTTTTTGAACAGAATCCAACAGTTTCAGGGTATGTTTGGGTGCTGCACTCCAAATATGGAAACAGTATTCCAGGACAGGTCGGATATGTGTCTTATAGATCATAAGCAGCTGACTGGAAGTGAAATAGCTCCTGACCCGAAACAGAAAACCAAGTATTTGGGATGCACTTTTAGCAATTGATCTCAGTGGTTTTTCCAAGAAGGGTTATTGCTGATAGTTATACCAAGCATTGAAATGGAGGTCTTCAAAGGTATGGTTACTCCTGAAAATCTTATGTTGGGCACAGTGAGATCGGCTTTTCTAGAGAAAAGGCATGCTTGTGTTTTGTTTGCATCGAAATCTACCAAGTTATTGAATCCCCATTCGAGAATTGTTGCCAAGTCTATATTCATGTTGTCAACATTTCTCTCTCGTTCGTTTCTGATTTGCCTGGCTGGTATTGGAGCCCTGGAAGAGAAAGCGGTATGGAGGGTACTATCAATTGATAGTGAATAAAATGTTGGGATAGGGACATTGAAACCGTTTTGAACAAATAATGAATAGTTTCGACAAAAAAAATTCCTAAAGTTGAAAAATCTCGATTTGTCACATCCTATAACTCTGTAATAATTACTGCTAGACCCCGAGTATTATAGGCCAATGAAATAAGCTCTCAAGGAAAAATCTGAAAATGGAATAATATACAGGGTGTCCCATCCAAAAAATCAAAGTTGTTGCTACTTATCAATATAAGCGGCAACGTCGCAACACTGAGGATATTTTATGTCGATAGAACACAACTAATTATCCAATGTCACCAACTTTTCAAAATAATCCTGTGTTGTGTTCTTCAAGAATGTCTAATGTGTCATCCACCGTGAATCAGCCTGTATATTCTATATATTCTATACATCAAATGGCAATTGATCCAAGTCAACTTATTCAAAATAAAGAACATCAACTGAGATTCTCTGACATCAGGGAGGAACAAAATTCATCATATACTTACATGAAGAATTCGAATTCTAAATGTACAGTCGTGAACATGGTCAATTGGCACTAAGGAGTCTGAAATAGATGAAATATTGATTTCGCACTGCTACAAATTGTGGTCAGTGATATATATAGATATATATTTCATCGACTTGAAAATACCCCGTCCAATTGACAAAAAAAAAACACGTTCGTCTCAAGGGAAATTCCCAATTCATGCTTTGATGGATTCGCGAAGACGAAAAGAAAACCTCTGACCATATGGAGTAATGTGAATGATATTTTTGTACAAAGTGTCCCAAAATTACATGGAAAGATCTTAACAGCAGATTCTAGGAACAAAATCAGTGAAAAAATTACCCTCTAGGGGGTTATAGCCATCTGAAGGAGAGTCCGAGATTATGTGTTTTGTGAATATTTTTGAAACGGTCGCATTGTAGTTGTAGTTTAGGATAAGGTATTTCAAAAAAAATTATATTGATTTGGTCCTCCTTCGAACAGGTATATATTTGCCTTATAATTCATTTGCGGAGTTGGGTTATTAGAATATCGGGAGACGGACGACCGTGTAGATACATGAATTTTGTCTCAATGTACACTCACAATATTCTCTTTCTTATTTTCCAGATGTTTGGATCGCCGAGCACACCTGTACTCGAAAATCCCGAATACCAGACAAGGTGGTACTTTAAATTTTTCCTTGGAAAATGTAAGTGTTCTTCATAGTTGGGTACTTATGCCTGTAATACAACCGGTATATATCTTATTTGTCCACATTGATTCCTGCTCAATTTTCAAACTATTATATCATGTAGATAAGATCACAGTGAAATTCGTTCGAAATTTATATTTTTCATATAAAATTCTCTCATAACCGTACTCCTCTATTATTTGGATCACTGGGTGTAAATCAAAAAAATTTTAATATGATTGTGATTGATGACATAATATATAAAATCTGTATATATCATAGTTTTCTCAAAATATTCAATTTGAATAAATCTCGTTTTACAAATCTCACGTTTATTAATAGGTTTGTAATTTGATTCTGAAATGTTTAATTAAACTACCATTCTTATTCAAAAATTCTACTAAGATTATCTCTGATTATTATTCTTCAACCTTTATTCATATACACTGTCTATCATAAAGTACGTAAAATAATTATGGGCTGTGGAATATTGCAAATTTTAACAATGTCAACAAAAGTGGATACTCAATTTGGATCTCGATTTGGATAACTGTGAGAATCATTCAAATTCATAATAATAAGAAGATATTCACCATAACCATTGATAACATAATTTTTTCCAGTACACCAAAACTACGTTGGACTCGAGAATGACAAATCACCATTTTTTCTAAGTGTAGTTTTAAACGAAGATACCAATACATGTGTGCCTCTCTGTAGATCCATTTTATTCAGGAAAACTGTGAGTAATTCACATTGACAAATAATATAATGCGATCATTAACGCACTCATTTGCAATTACCTCACTATTATTGGCCGATATGGGGTGCATTTTAGGACACATGTTTTTATGAAGAAAAAGTCTTATTTTGATCCCAACAATACGTCCTTAGAATATTTAAATCGAATTTTGAATCACCCTATATTTTTAAATGCATTCCATTACACATATCTTGTGTTAGGAATGTTAGCAATGAACTATGCTGAATGAAAATACTATCATTGCTTGAAATTATACAGGGTTCGATAAAGAACTTATCTATTTTATTTTTATCGCTTGGAGCGCACGAAAGGAAATCCCTATAATGTTTAAAGAACATCGTGCGTTCCTAGGGAGAATAGGGACAGGAGGTAGGTATTGGAATTTTTTTTGAACTTCTGGAGATTATATGTTGTTGGGAATACTTCCTCAGGCAATGAATTCCAGAGCCTAGCCGATGGATGAAGGAGTTTTGATAAAGTGCTGTTCGACATCGTTCGAGGTTGACAACGAAAAGTATTGCTAGTGAAGGGATGATAGCAGAGATTTCCAAAGAACATCTTCCAAGGAAAAAGTATCGATAGAAAAGTGAAAGGTCGCCGACCCTTCTACGGTGCTCCAATGATGTCAAAGAGTGAGTGAGTGTGGCGTCACCCACCAGGCGAATGGCTCTTCTCTGGATGGAATCTAAGAGCATCAGCGTTTGCTTTGTAGATCATGGAAAGCTGTTGAGGTGTAAAGTAGCTTTTTGCACGGAACAAGAATCCGAGTTCTCGTGAAGCAGATTTTGCGTTGGATCTGACATGATTATCCCATGAAAGAGTGTTGCTGATGCAGATACCGAGCATATATATGTTGGGCTTGGTGGGGATGGTGGTGCCAGACATAACAATATCGAGCATACTGAGTTCCGCCTTTCTAGAGAAAATACAGGCTTGAGTTTTGGCGGCGTTGAATTCAACTAGGTTGTTGGTTCCTCAGGCTGCGATTTCAGCAAGGTCTTCATTGACAGCATGACTACCTGCGCCGTGAGTTCCTAGTTTCCTGGGAAGAAATGGGAATTCTGGTAGAGAACGTAGTATGGAGGGAACTATCATCTGCAAAGCTGTGGATGGGGCGAGTTGTTACTCCCAACAGATCATTGATATGAAGAAGGAATAATGTTGGTGCCAATATTGATCCTTGTGGAACGCCGGAATTGATGCCAATGGTATCAGACGATACACCGTCCACCACCGCGTGAAGCGATCTGCAATTATGAACATATTTTCGTCCTATATTGATTCCTGAACTATTCTCCATACCCTGTATACTGAGAAGATTCCTAAATGGAAAGCAATTTGAAATGGTGCATTGGAAGTAGGTTATAGTTGAAATTGCTAGGGGATGAACATATCAAGTTGGCTATAATTTCAAGAATGAAATGAAATATTTCGAGGAAAAATCGGTTCTCTGAATTTGGGGACGGTTAACATTATGTCGGAGATCCTGTATATTCCTCCAGCACTATACGAAACGACCACATTCATCAACAATGAAATATAGGCACGCTCTCAATCTCAATTCTAATGAAGTTCAAATTATTACCAACCTACTCCAAAGTTCAACCAGTATAGTTATTTTACATCAACAAAATTGAACAATGAACATGCAACTTTGGTAATTCGAAGTGTCGGTATACACATTTTAGTTTTGACACCCAACAATATCCAACTTTCTGGTTCTGAACTAACTGTTTGCACGTTCCAGGGCGCTCAGAAAATATCTTTACCCATATCTCATAACAAAGTTATGACAGTTAAGCAAATACTGGCGAATTTTCCGAATATGGATAAAGTTGAAAAGGGGCCCAAAGAGATATTCTCGCCTGATATACAAAAAGACTTATTACTATTAGAGGAGCAGGAAGGATCTGTCAACTTCAAGTTCGGTGTTATTTATATGAAACAGGGTCAAACCACTGATGATGAAATCCTTAGTAATGGTGAGTATCAGTACTGTACTTATCAGTTAATATCACATAGCTGTGTGAATATGTCGTATGGATTCAGGGCTCTCATTTCGCTCATTTATATGGACTGCTATTTATAGTTATAACCGCTTGTACATTGAAAGGAGGTTATTTGTTTAACTAGGCAGAAAAGCACAAGATTTAATGCCGCGGCTGGCGTTTCATGGCCAAGGCGTAGCCGATGCTGGGAAACTATATAGCAAAGGCATTCAATCTTCTCTTCTGATATGTGAAACATTTAATTTTTTCTCCAAATTCGTTTCAAGTTTTGATTACAAATTTGAATCAAATTATCACCTGGAAAGTTGCATAGCAACAACTTTTTTCTATCTAGGCTGTGAAAGTACACCTTTTATGCCTGTTGAGTGTCATTAAAAAGCTACTTTTAATGTCATTTGGAAGAAAAGAAAATGTTAGCCTCCTTCACTAAGATGGTAGTGGTAATGACGCATGTGCTTGCAATCACAGTTTTAGAGTTTGAGCGTCGTTTTATGACACTTGAATGACACCTACCAAGAAAATGTTTACTTCAAAATCAAATTATTGAACTAGCATCCATTAACAAATGCCAGCTAATTTTATAAATACCTATTTTTCTCAAGAACTCATATTTGTGACATAACTCCTTGTTCCACTTGTCCCTTTAATTATGTTTGACCTCGACATTTATTAGCTTATTCAATGACATTTGTCTTGAACAACATCAGACTAATGTGCATCAAAGAAACAAATATGTATGTTGGAATATCAAATAATGGATTCGAAAACTATATGAAGCAATCAATATATACATCATGCACGGAAAATTGAAATGTTTCTTTTTGTTTCAGAATATGGTAGCTATAGATTCGAGCAATTTCTTTCCTTATTAGGCGATAAAGTCAAATTGAGAGGATGGGATAAATACAGAGGAGGACTTGATACCAAAGGTTAGTACTCATAATGAAATGCATGCGTTTGACTCACCCTGTATTTTCGTATATACACATGCATATGAAACGGATTACTTCAGGTGACGGAATATGCTTTGAGTCAAGAGCATGATTTGTTTACACAGGGTTTTCTAACTTAATTCGATACTATTGCTAGGTTTGTTATTATTGGAGCCACAAAGTGAACAATACATATTTTGAATCGATAGGAAATTTGATTCGGAACAAGAACTCTATTCAAGACAAGAATAATATCCTAAATGAAAAATTGACTAAGTTATCGACGATTCATTTTCACATTAGCTGTCCGCTGACATTTCTTGCAGTTTTTTTGAGCTATGCGCATGTCTACAGTTCATACTTTTTATTTTCTTTTTCATTTTTTGTACTTACCTATAGCTACTATTTTATTCTTTCTTACACCTATTTTCATTCTCTCAGTATTTTTGGTTGTTTTACGAATAAAAAATTGAAACCCAATCGGTTTAGTATAGTTGACGTACCGACAGCAGCGCTACCTATCGCGTCCAATTGAACTTTTAAATCATCCAGGAATCCATCGAAATACCCATATAAAATTTTAACCCAATCGGATCAGCCGTTTAGAAGTTATGCGAAAAAGATACGTACCGATACGGAAGGGTATAATTCTCACTACCCGTTGTCCTGTTCCCCGTTTTCCCGTAAGAATGAATCATTTTCCCGAGGCAGACTAACAATCACTTTGACAAATTCGGAAAATCATCGATAGCTTCGTAATTCTTGAATTCAGTATAAAAGATTATAGGACAGTTTTTGTTTAGAAGCGAATTTCCATTTACAAAAATGTAACCTTTTGTCATAACTCGTGAACGCGATGTTCTTTTTTCATTTTATTTCGTCATCAAGAATTCAAAATGCCATATTGTGGAAAATCGTTTATCAACTTTGAGACAATAAATACTCCCTTATGGACTATATGGATCCGTCAAAATGGTATGGCGGGACGATATTCGTAAATGTCTACTTGAAATGAATTAGTTGAAACAAAAACGAGGCCGTGAAATGTGGTTTAGTAAAGGAAACTTACCTGCTTCTATTAAAATGGCGTGCTGTGAACCCAACGACATGAGTATGACATGTTGCTTGCACAGGATAATCTTCTATAGGTACAACCGAAAAACGCATGATTCTCTATCTAAAATCTGTACTGTCCTACACGTTTCATTAATCGCCCTGTGATTGAGCCCCGACGTCCAGCCCTGTGACTATCATTTTCCTATATCATTAATTATGTAATTCGACCTCTGAAGGGGTGCCATACTTGTAAAAAATGAGTCGAGTCCGTCTGTCACTATCTCCTGGTTTATAATGTTTTTACATGGCTTCAGGACATGTCATTTCGTTATCAGATGACGGTCGCAGCAGGCTCTCCTATATAGAAGAACTGAACTACCAACTGTGGTTCGACATGTTAAACGCAATGTTACTTTAGCAGGCAGACTCCTATCACTTATGGGAATAGAGGACAACCCCACTTGCCGCAGATGCGGGAAAGACAAGGAAACGTCACTCCATTTCCTCGGCGAGTGCGAGGCGTACGGAAGGCTGAGATTTGAAATATTTGGAGTAGGCAAACTTCAACAGGAGGACTTGATTATATTAGAGTGGACGGACGTACTGGCTTTCATCAGAAGGTCAGGGAGATTCGTAAAGGAAATCTAGGTGAAGGAAGCGTAGATATGTGGAGAGCAGGGGATACAGCTACAGCCTCCCCACCTACTACTAGTACTTTGGCAGACGCATAACAGAGATGACCGAAGTTGAAAACCCCGTCCGTCGTAAAAAAACGTCGTTCAGACATCAAAACAATCAAATGGAAATAATTCGTGAACAATTAATATAGTTATGTTTTGCTGCTATCAGTGTACCAGTACTGCCAAAATCGTTCCGAAATGAAATGAAAATTCGAAGCTATACTGTTTGTTTAGTCTTTCTAAATTGCTTACTGTGGCTAGTAATGTCATCAACAATATAGGAATATCGGAACTAGCAGAACGATATCATGTCTACCAGAGGAATATTATAATAATGATCAACGATTCAACAGTTTTTGAACGATAAATGAGAAAATTTGAGAAATGGTTTTTACCAGAAAATATTCTAATACTCAGTATTTGAATACTAGAGAGTATTTTCAGTACTGAAGAGTAATTGTTATTGTGTTGTGCAATGTGACTTTAGCAGACGCCGAACAGAGATGACCGAAGTTGAAAACCCCGTCCGTCGTAGAAAAACGGATTCGCTAATTTTTTAGGAAGTTGAACTCATATAAATTATATTCGTGAAGACATCAAAACGATCAAATAGAAATAATTCGTGAACAATTGATATCAAAAATTCTTATTTAAATGACTAATTGTTCCAAAGATCAATAGCTCTATGGCAATAAGAGATAGACATGATCTTTTCATCTCTACCATTATTTGAAATTTCTTCAAATAGAAAACCCTGTATTCTTTCACATATTTCGATTAGTCATTATGTTGTCATCAAAACCATGCTTCCATATTGCAATCCTGACGTGGCGTTGCCAAGTTCATGAGAATAGTTTCGCTCTTCTTTGTTTTCAAAATTGTCATCAGAAATCATGCATGAACTTCGATTACACTTCGAATATCGCTTCAAAAAAGTCATAATTGAGAGTGATCTATAATTAATTGCCATTTTGTTGACTCATAACAGCAATTATCAAAGGTAATATGAAACGATATAGTATCGATATCATTCATATTTCCCACAGAAACTTTCATATTCGCATTTATTCGTGAAATATATCAAATCAAGTCAATTGATGAAATCACAAGTAAATACCAAAATACCTAATGTACTCTTTTCTCACTCACCTAAAGGACTTGACACAGTATTGTTCATCAATAATTTTCACATAATATCGGAACTAGCAGAACGCTATCATTTCTACTAGATGAACATTATAATAATTATCAACGATTCTACAGTTTTTGAACGATAAATGAGAAAATTTCAGAAATGGTTTATATCTCGACAAAAATAGACCCCAGTTATGTAGGAAATATAACATCAAATAAAAAGATATTTCAACGAAACTGTCTGTTTACCAGGAAGTATTCGAATACTCAGTATTCAAATACTGAATAGTATTTTCAGTACTGTGAAGTATTTGATATTGTGTTATGTGTCCATGGTTATATGATGGATCGAAGTCATCGGAACATTATAGAAATGGGTTGATGTTTCCAACAACAACTTAGTAGAAATTGCCACCATTAAGAAGTAATAATGCATCACAATCGCCATTATTGACGTTTCATGAATATACCAGGGTTAGTGGAAAGTATGGAAACGCCACAATATCTCCCCAGTGTCTATTGTTTTATTCTTCTCATTATTATGAAATTACCGTCGTCCAGGAGTGGCCAGTTTTTGAGTCCAGATGAGAAAACTGGATAGATCCCAGAAAAAAAGTTGATGGAACTTGAAGTTCCTCAGCACTTAGTGTATATTCAACTCAACCAAACCATAATACAGGGTGTTCCAGAGTTATGGTGACATTTCCTCTCAACAAAATATGAAAAAAAGTTTACTAGAAGAGATGATGAGAACATGGGTCCGAGAATATCTTGAAAATATATTTTTAACAAAATTTCAAGATCGTATACATCTGAGAGAGAGTATTGAATATTATGTCTATTTTGTTTTCATGAATAATAATGTGCAATGCATTTTTGGATAATTATGCAAGCATTTTTATTTTTCCTTATGAATAGTTCAGAGATATGCCGAGGAATGGTATTGTCAGTTTTTCGAAAACGAAGCAAGATACGAAAAAATATCAGGAGACAGAGATGTTGTACTCTCAGTAAGTTTATCTGAATATTCCAGTCATAGAACCCAAAAAAACACATGGTAACTTTTTTCCACCAAAAAAACTGACTTGCTGGGTCCACTGATGGAAATTCTGGATCGAATATAACATGTCCAGTTAATGTCCGATAATTGTGAAAATGAATCATAAAAATTGCATCCAAATCGGCTCAACCGTTTTCAAGATATAAATAGAAAGCTCTTTTTTCAAACATATCTCGCAAATAAAGCATTTCGGACGCATGTTTATATTTTGTTGAGACGAATCTCCTCCAGGCTTTTGTCACGACAACTCTAAAACACCCTGTACATACAATCATGGAATTTCCCATACACCTATACTGTTACTCTATCTATATTTCAAGAAAAATGAGCCTGAGAAAATACAGTATGTTCTATTTCGAATGAAGTAGATGGACGGGTTCAAATAATAAATGCACATTTTTCAGAAAGACACCTCTCACTCTCAAACGAAGATAGATCTTTATATCAAGAAGAGGTGAATTTACAATGAAAATTGATCCTATATATGAAGCATCAACGTCAGTTTCTCTCCATACATCGAACTTTCCTCATTTTCTCTTCAAATGTGTTCAATTTGGCCAATCAATTTCGATCACTGGATCATAAATTATATATACCATCTATAGGTATTTTTCAGTAGTACATTTGGAAAAAAATCAGACTCATTTACTGTATATAGAAGGATTATTTCACTAGAAGCGTGACGCACTGTATAATAATTGTAGGTCGATGTGAATGAATAAAATTTAAAATTCAAGAGCCGATTCCTTATTTCATGAAAAAAAGTGCCGGCTGATACTTTATATTCTACTCAATAACTATCTCAATTAAATGTCTCCGAACATTAAAGGAATTGCCTTTCGTGTACTCCAGGAGAAAAATATGGGGTATTCCTCATGAGCATTCATGATTCAGTTCTAGGAAATGCAAAAATCCTCTCTAAAGTGACAAATTATACATAAACTGGTATTTTTGAATGGAATTTATTTCTTTTCCTAATCAATAATGCTCTCTCTTCTGAACTCAAATATTGTATATACTTTGTCAGTTTTCGAAAAATATGTAATTCAAAGTTCTGCGTGGCATTTCCCCGATGCCAAAGTTATTCTGGAGATACCGAACCAAGATTTGAAATGGAGAATAAATGAACTGTCCAGGCAACAGTAGTACACTAGGTGGCAAAATTCTAATAATAAGCTAACTGAAATGAACCCAAACATTGTAAAAAATAGAGTAGAAGGTGTAAGCAGAAGACAACAAGTTATTCTTTTGAGACTACGCATTGGACATACCAAACTAACACCAAGCCATCAGATGCGAGTTCTGTGGAGTAAATATCTCGGTGAAACATATCTCTGAATGTCCCGGGCTTGAGCGACAAAGAGTATCCAATGGACTATCGAATGACCGTCAGAAAAATCTTCAAGGAAACAACATACTAAATCTCATGAAATTTCTCAAGTCAATTGATATCCTGAACGAAATATAGACACTCTGATTTGTAATGAAATGTAAGTTAATGTAATGTAATTATTGTTCCATCGCTAATAACCTCTAATGGTTGATGCGATTTATTTCAAATAATAATAAAAAAAAAGCTCTACGTGGCATTTACTTGAAAATGGTTTACAATACAAATTGTCACTGACAAGCTAGTGAATTTTTTGCTTTTAGGCTCTCTGATGGGAAAATTCCTTAAACGCAGTGACATTTTGGGGCAAATCATCTGATTTGTCCTTACTACACGTATATTGAAATAATATTCATATTTTCATTTTATAGAAACGAGGAGAGCAAAATCACAAAAAATTTGGAATAATGAATGTACCACCTACTCGATTAACATACAGACAGTATATGTTTATGAACTTTATTTACTGAAATATGATACCACCTTCTGATTTTCTCGCACTTATTTATACACACCCTGTATCGGTGTAGCTACTCATGTATAATAAGATTTTTCTGTTGAAAAATGTGCTTGGCAGGTTCTCCAACTAAATTCGTTTGATTTTACTTCTGACGCAGAATTATATTTATAATATAATTATTCTAGCTCGCTTGATCTGCCCTGATTAAGTGAAAAGTCGGGAATTCTACGTAGAATGGCCGACTCGCTCTGACTTCATCTTCGTAATAATAGGTAGGTACCGTGTTCCCCTGAAAATATCAAGTTTTCTAATTATTCCAGTTCCAGTGCCTATTTATAGTAGTGAATTTGACTGGATTATAATAGGATTATTACGTTTAGCGATTCGAATCATATCGGAATATGAAAGTTTTTGTGATCTCAGGCATTCGAGAAAAGTTCAAATTTCATCATTCAGTTTGATACTTGGTTGACTTTATCACGCGCCATATTGGGAAAAATACCAACTACCCAGTATCACCAACTGGGCGTATTTTATTACAATTTTGAAATCTTGAAACAAGAATGATAATAATTCAACAACGCTTGAAAGCTGCTATTACACGATTGTTTTCAAAATGATTCGTGAATTTTGAAAATACATGGTGTGATTCAGTTTTTTGTAGCATAACCTGAACAGCTCAAAGATAATACCATCTCAAGATAAAAATCTCATGTGAACATATATGCGTAGAAGCTCCTTTCCCGATATACAGGGAATGTGATTTTTTTTTTCGCTGACGGGAGAGAAGTTTCTTCGGTAACAAAAGAGGGGCAGAAGTCTCGTAATATTTCCTAGGGAGATAATGTGACATATTTCCTCCCTAGGGAATTCATACCAACTTTACATTTTACATTACTTTTTGGGACACCCTTCTCTTAGCAAGTTGAGAATAACTGCAGAAGCAGTATCAACAAGTAACCATTTTCAAAGCAGTTTTCATGAATTTCAGTTTGATATTTGCTGTCACTATGGGTTGTTGACAAGATGCTTGTTGTCAAGATACGAATTCCACAAACTATACTACTACTAATTATGACAAAACATTTTGACCAAATTTTCATTCTTTTTTATTTTTGTGTTTTCGCCAGCGTAAAAAATAGTACATACACCTCAGGACAGAATGCTATTTTTCCCTAGGTGCTTTGTATCTCTTGGGCTTCGTCCTCGAGCTACAAATCGCCCCTTGGGAAAAATCTTGCATTTCAGTCCCTTGATGTATAATATACTATTGTGTTTTTCGATAAGTCGTTCCACCAAGCCTCATTACCATATCTTATGAAAGCGCATTTGATCATTCTAGGTCTTCTAGCCTAGAGTGTGCTCAAAGAATGAAGTTTCATCACAACTATTTTTTGTGTTTATCTCGAAATCCATATACATTTTTCGAAGAACATATGGGAGATCAAGAACTAACCCAACAGAGACTCTACATTAATGATTCATTGAAAACAAAGGCAGCAAGACAGCAAGCAAAATAGTTCAAGATGATTAAATTGGGTACAACCCTGAAAGTGTATCACCTTATAGTTTATCAGGAACGTCTAATAGCCGTAAATATTTGATTTTTGCGAGTGTAATAGTAATACAAAATTGTAATTCATCATTTTAAAAATTATAGGAGAAAACTTGAGAAACAATGAGTGAATCTCGAACTCTGACTCTCTGTATATTAGAAACGATGCTCCAACGCATATTATATGGTTACAGGAACTCTTCTACTTTGAGAATGTGTGTTTTTGTAGCTGTTGAAGTACTGCTGCAAAGAAGCTAACTCATCCTGTATAATGAAATACGGTTAACCGGCATTGCTGACCTTTTTGCGATATTTCACATCGATTGGTATTGAGTAAATTGTTTATATTGTCTCTCAGGTTCCTTTCGAATTGGAACTTTGGAACATTGGTACCCACATTTTTTCGTTTCTTCCTTGTCCACCCAACATACACAGATATATCTATAAATATATCGTACATATAATCATTATACACTGTGGTACAAAATTATGTACCGATATTTCATATTTACTTTTTTCAACTCATTATCGGATATGGATATTGAGGGATTTATGCCCCTTCGAATGTGAGGAAAATAAATATCAGTTCCACATAGTATAACAAGTCAAAATGAATTTGAGATCAATTTCAATTTATTATCGAGTTGAATGTGTGATGAATGTCAAACTTATATGGCATGTGTAGAGGGTGATTCGAAAATGTCTTTGAATGGTTTTTTCTCAAACCTGTATATCTCAGGTGAGACAGCGAATGAAAAATCCTACAAAAATATACTGCTTACAAATAAATTCAACTGTTGGCAGTATATCAGTAGTGCCACTTGACACTTCTGAAATTCTCCTGTTCCTGAATTGTTCAGTATTTAGAGTGAAATTACCAGTATTATAATAGTATATTATTATAAAAGTTTTATAAGACACTCTTACGTCGCACGCGTTGTACGACGAACGAAGCGAGGAGTGCTTTAAAAAACTCAGTAGTGCGACAATATGTCTCATAAAAAGTCCGTAATATAGATACTTTTCTTGTATTTTGATCATGAAATATCAGAAATATATTATAAAATAAGTAGTTGGTAATAATGATAACACATTTGAATAATCATTCTCTTATTTGACAGAAGGTAGATAAATTATTGTGTCTGGCAGTTTGACGTCACCATTACCAACTATGAAATCAAAAATTCAGGGTGTCCTAATGTATAGAAGCTGTTTCGATATGCATTCGGGTGTCACAATGACTTCATTATAGACGCAGAACAGAAAAATATACAATAGTATATTATGTAACAAGTGTTATAAACGTCATTCTAATAACGAGTATTTCAAGCACGAGCGCAGCAAAGAGTTTATGAACGCGTTACAAACTGTAATTTTTCTACGAACTCATAATTCCTTTCTTCGACAAAGTACCATAATTCCGAAAATCGGATCAACCAACCTGCTAACCTACAAAATATTTCGAATGGAATGGGAAGGGAATTGTAAACATATTATATAATACTATGCAACTACATGCAACCAATGAGACACGTATGAGTTAAATTGGTTGCAGATGTGCGCCTAGTCTATAGGATACATGATTTTCATTGAAATTGCTTGTTTATACCTACCTTTGTGATTAAGATTCCATCCGACGTAGTAGATACAAACTCTTCGATTCGTTGGGGTGTCGAAGATTTCGAATCTACAGGTTTGTATCCATATTATGATTGCAAAATTTTGCTCACATAAATATTATGTTTTGCCTTCATTGTCATGCTTAGCATAAAATGAATTGCCCACTAATATGAAAGCTTCATTTTTACCTAGAGTTCTTGGAAATATACCTGAAACATTCGCTTCGACTTCACTCTCGTCTACATTTTGCAAATTTGCAAACATTTTCAATGAAGAATTCTGATTCAAACAGAAAATGTTTGAATAATTCTGATTGCAACTTTTCAAATTCGAAACAGTTGACAGTTCCCACAATTGACAGGCCGGACAGGACTCGAACGACTGGAGGTGTGTTCAAAAAACTCTGTTGCCTTGGTAATGTGTTTAACAAATTGTCTTGCCATGGTAACATGTTAAATTCTTTGAATTAATCACAGATCATCAATCCGTGATTAATCGATCATTTAGCGTGATACATATCCGGTCGCTGAATGCTATTTTAGTTATGTGAGTAGAAAAAACTAGTTATTCTTGTTGCAGGAGACATGACGGGCAAATTTTCGGTGTACACAATCTACGAGGGTCACGAGATCATGTTCCATGTGTCGACGCTGTTGCCGTATTCGCGCGACAACCGGCAACAGGTCGAGCGAAAACGACATATTGGTAATGACATTGTCAACATCGTGTTTGTCGAGGCAAGAGACAATTCGGAAGCAGATTTTGATCCGGAGGCTGCACACTCGCACTTCAATCCTACCTGCATCAAGTCACAGTTTACACGTATCCTTTTTCCCAATTATCATGGGCGACGCCACTACATGGCAAGAGGGTCTGTGCCCCTTCTGGCCCCTGGATCATGTTTTGGAAGACTATGATAAAGCGCATTTTCTGATCTGTGAATATCAGTGTCTGAATATTTTGCTACGTATACTTGTATGCAGTCCGTAGTTTGTATCTCAACGTTTTGACGTATCTGTATTTAAATTTTGGTATTTTGGTTATATTTCAGATAAGGTTTGTTACGAATGAGGCACTTTTCAGAAAGAAATTGGCGTTTTTTTTCAATTCCAAAGAGTAGGCAGCAAATTTTTCATAACTGAAAGAATGTTTGGAATTTGTCTCTCAGCAAGCAGGGCTGAACTAAAGAATTTGAATCCAGAATTTCTCACTCTCTATACACTGTTTTCATTGCCGTACACACTTATATCAGCATCAATTAGGAAATCTGATCTGAATAGAAATATTTTGAATCCATCGTTTGTGTCTATTATGAAACATCTTTAATTGTTGAAGTGAATTTTTTGGCACATAAGATATGTGGCTGGTGATAGCCATGACAAACTGAACTTTCTATATGAATCCATTCAACATTTCAAAAAATTTTCACCTGCAACGCATGTTTTTTCGTTTGTTTCTGAATTATAGATCAGTGCCCTGGAAATGGAATTTCACCACCTCCTTGAAAATTTTCTGGGACGCCTATGACAATTATCCAGCAAAGATGTTCTTCATTCTGTACTACCCACACAGTACAAATTATTCAGCATCAAAATATTGCAATTGCAGCTGGTTCTCAGAAATATTACCGGAATGTCGTATTTGAATATTGCAATATTCAGACAAATAATGCTGCAATGTCACTAATTATATTGAGGTATATCGACAAATTTGGCATTTACTCGAGAAATATCACATACGGTGATTTATTGATGCTTCTTGCATAAATCATGCGATTGTTTTATATTGTACATTCAATCTCTAAGAAATGTTGCAGCAATATTGATCAGAGAAAACAGGAAAGCGTTAAAACAAATGTCAATCAACATGGCATTGACTACAGGTAATGGTTCAAGGAAAAATCAATATAATACACTAAGTGTGCATTCATTGAGTATTTTGGCCCGATGAGCTCAATTACACAATATACAGGGTGTCCGGAAAAGTCATGTCGTAATAATGATAGGGCTATATAATAGAGTGAGCCAAAATAACGTTAGTACTTTATATAAAAAATTGCCTATCCCATTTCGTACGAAGTTATTGACCTTGAGAGATTCTGCAAGTCCATACACATCTGCAAACTCATCATCACTAAACTCATCCATGTTGTTACGAAAGTATTAAATACTATCAAACTAATTTGATATCAATTATGACAATGACTGTTATGTTATTGAAAAAAATTGTTATTTATTTACCGAGTATATGATCCTAATGTCCAGAGGATATCATTCACCCGAGGGCTTTTGGCTCAAGGGATGAATGCTGCCCAATGGGCGTTAGGATCTGGTAACGCTCGTGGTTCACACAAGATTTTATTTTTCACGAAAATAGTAGATTGTTTTATTAGGATCAGAAATAAAACTTTGTTTGACAAACGAATTTTGCGAAATTTGCTAGTCAAACGAAGTCACTTTTGATCTGAATGGAACCGAAAGAATCATCTCAAATACATAATATGTGAAGTAACCACTAATGCCGTGTCATATGTATGCAATGCAACAAATAATCTGTGAGTGAACATATTTTACCTGCATCAACAGCAGGTTTATTCAATTTTCAAGGGTGATGTTCGAATTTTAGTTTCAATATAAATACAACCACAGAGTGACATATTTGTTTATGGACCAGGTGCTCTAATGGCAAATACCGCGCCAGTGCCAGGTATAGGAACAAGACGTGGTGAATGTTAGGTTAGTGAGCTTATCAACAATAATAATAGCGATTATTAATTTCTCTTTATACTCCTCTGTGCTTGGCTTGATAATCAAATGAAGGTAAACAATATCATTGTTTGAGACAAAAAACTATTGCTGGCCGTGATTATTCAAGAAAAAGTTATCCATCCCGAGAATAACGAATGATTTACATATCAAGCAAGTATGTGAATCTTGAAGGCTTTCCTGATCGAAACAAAAATACTCAACTATAATAAGATGTATTTATATCTCCAGCATGGGTATGAAAAGAAACGTCAATTCAAGAGCTGATTTTGGTAAAAAATCGACTACTTTTGTGTGGGTTGCAGAAAAAATCATCTCATCAAAATGGAAAATCGATTTGAAAAAGCGTTTTATTGCTCCTAGCATTTCCTTTCCATTGTTTCTTGTCATGGTAGGCATGCCACTTTTTGATATTTTGACGTTTGTTGAATATTGCTGTCAAAATTCAATTTAGTTATTGATGTCATTACTGCTTTCTTTGTGTAGTCATAAAGAAATAATGGACCTGAACACAAATTTACCCAAAAATATCACGAACAATGCAGACAAGGCGGATTAATCCAGACTCGTGTATATACGGCAAGAATTATTGTACTTACATGAGTCGGTATGTAATTTTATGACCTACAGAAAAACAATTTGCGAGCGTTATGAAAAGGTATTATGAAGCAGTAATGGACAAGTGAAGAATGAAGAGTTTTTATTACCTTTGAAACGGTTATGATCTTTCGAAAATGCGATTTTTTCTAGTACGGTACAAGATATCGGTTGAGATAAAGTATACTATTTTTGTTGAAAAAAAGAAGGCATCAAACGGTGTAAGCAAAAAGTCAAATTTGGAACGATTCGTCCCATCCTGTATGAAACATAATCACTGAACAGCCGTTTACATATCGAAAGGAGCATTAGTATGAGTCAATTTAGTTGCTACCATGACAACCGTTCAAAAGTTATACATTCAATGTATTTTTTATTCAAACTTTCAAGGTCAATAACTCCGTAAGGAAGGATGACAGATATGGAGTACTTATATTATTTTGGCTTACTCTATAAGCATTATCAGTTACGGCATGACATCATGTCCGGACACCCTGTATACCTATATTCTGCAAGCATTTTCAAATTCCGTGTCGAATCATATCTTCCAAATTGGAAGCTGTAGAAGAATGAAAGAATTACTTTGTACTCAAGGATTTTATTAAGGTAACATTTTTCAAGGAGATATATTTCGCTCGATTTTTTACAAGCGGTATAGGGGATGCTTTTGTTTCAAATTGAACTTATATTTGGAAAATGTTCACGTTTTGATTTGAAAAGTTTTTAATGAGGCTACCTTGATTACCTCTTCTTAAATTGGTTATTTGGACTCCGCTGTTTTAACCGGGTGGCGAGCGTTTATGTAATGAGTGTTGAAAGGTAACTGGTCTTCACAACTTTCTATTTGGAATGTTGCATTTCTTGATAAATTATCACTTACAATCAATCTGCAGTTCATCAGGTTATTACATCAATCTACAGTGTGTCCCACTTACTATGCTCACCATGGGTATCTTTTTAACGGTGAGAGATACGAGGTCGGTTGAATGACACCAAATGTGGAGTTTGTCAAGGCCAACTATAATGAGAAAAAATATTTTGATAAAATCTATTCGTTTTTGTTATACGCAAAAAACAGATTTTGATCATTTTAATGTCTCCTCCGTAACTTCTTTATTCATGAAAATATTCAAATAGTAATTTCACATTCTCTTGGCAGTTTTTCAAAGTGATTTCGAAAAAGATATGAAATTTATACCAATTCTTCTAGAATTTGAGATATCAGCACCAACTTCAGTTTTTCAAATGTAGGTCATAGCTCACTATGACTTATTTACAAATAACTTTTTTTTTCTCTTACAGATGATATGTCGCAGTAATAGTTTTGTGTTGATAACAACGAAATTATCGTCATTTATACAAAAACAAAAAATTATTTGGAAGCCGCCATCTCGAATTTATGAATTTCAACAAAAGAATCATGATCTCCGACCTCAAAAACCCCCACCTACCAATTTTGAATGGAATCGGACCAAATCTTGTCCGCCATTTTGGAGCAGCCATTTTTTTTAATTTCAACAAAAATTCCATAACTCCGATCAACTTGAAATTTGGCAGGTGTTCATAATTTCGGTGACAATACATTATGGAATTTTTGTTGAAATTAAAAAAAATGGTTGTATTTCAGGAAGCGTCGATTGTATTCCAGAATAGTCACTTGTATTTCAGGCAGTATCGATTGTATTTCAGAATAGTCAATTGAATTTCAGAAATCGTTAATTGTATTGATTGTATTCCAGAATGGTAACTAGTATATCAGAAACGGGCAATTCTATTTAAAATAGTCGATTGAATTTCAAAAAGCGTCATTCGTACTTCAAAATGATATTTTCTATAATACAAATGACACATTCTGAAATTCAATTGACGTATTCTGAAATTCAATTGACTATCTTGAAAGACAAATGTTGCTTTCTGAAATACAAGTGAATATTCTGAAATACAAAATGACGCTTTCTGAACTGGAAAACTACTTCATAAATGAATCTGAATAATCCTCTACTCCTTCAACTTGTTCTCCAGATTCGTTCGAATGCTTCATATGAACCTTAACACCACCTACAGATATCTTCGCGGTCGTCACCATGGATTCGGACAACCGCTATCGCCTGTCGGTGTTCTCAGACGAGGCAGTGCCCCTATTCGGGCCGAGCCTGCCCTGTCCGCCCGTCTTTACCGACCTTCGGTCCTTCAGGCAAGTACGCAGGCGCAGAAAGCGCCATGTCATGTTTTTTCATCATAGTTTTCACTCCTGTAATCTGAGTAAAATGGTGGATGGGGTTGTACACAGTAATAGAATTATATTTCATGTTTTCTCATGCATAATCACCCCCTTGATTTCTTGCGCATAATTTCCGGACACCCTGTATAGTAATTGATACAGTGATTCATTATTTGAAATCATGTCGATTATTTTTTCAACATTGCAAATGATCACCTCTCAAAATCGCTAGCTATCGATGACGTGATATAACGATAAATATGAATAGTGTTATATTTCTCAGCAACCAATGGAAACGCCAGACAGGAAATGCTTCAACAAGATATTCTCGAACACATACTGCATATTTTGAAGTAAACCCTATTTTAAAAGAAGATGAGCTTCATCTGTGCTTGTCAAAGTCTACGTTAGTTAGCCAATTAGTTTCATTAGAGTATGTCTATAGGTTTCACAAATAACATCGATTTGCACTCGAATTTCACTGCCATCGCCTCAAATAGAAGACTAACCCTGGAACATATCTCACTAGTCTGTCCTATATATTCTGGCTTGAAAAATGAAGATTTATTCGTTGAATCACAAATAATTGACGACCTGATAGATATTCCCAACACGCATTCATGTGTATCATTGAAACAAGTAGCTACGATTCTGATGAATATCCTGAAATTATGATCTTCTGTCATCAATGAATGAACCGCATGCCTCTTATGTTTCTCCCTATTATGTCTTACTGTAGAACTTTTCTATTGAAATTATGTCTTGATTGCATCCTGTATATGATCTGATACCATACTATTTTTTGTTTATTCATTTTTGTTTTATTTATCATATGATATTGAATATAACTCTGTCTTCTCTTTATCTCAGTGTATGTATAACCTGAACACTGTTATATCAATAAATCATGTATTTGTTCGAACCAATTCACTCGTGATGAGGATTCTTTTTCATATACAATAAATGTTATTGAATTGAATTAAATTTGAAGACTATAATGCACCATAACTTCATTCGCATTCATACTGCGGTTGAATAACCCAATATAAAAAGATGACTGTAATACTACAATGATATTAAGAATAGCCTGAATACGTTTTTGCGTTACGAAGTTGTCATCTTTGGTACAACTGAGAAAAAAAAAATTTGCTTTCTTCGGAATATTCGCCAGGAATATATTTTACCAGGGTTCAGAGATTGATGAAATAAACCTCTGGTGTATGCACTTCAATCCTATCCTGTTTTACAATTGCTTGATTCTCACCTACTTCAATTACCTAACATAACATGGCGTGGGTGAATCTCGCCAAGTTTGGTGCCGTACCAAAATTACAGGCATTAATGTGACAATTGTTACCGAATTGTGACCAATGAAGATAGGGAATACATTTTGCGATTTAGACGCATCAAGTACCAACCTTGAACTGATGTTGATCAAGTTCTACCAACTCGAGCCGCACTAGGGTTCATGCCATCTAACATTCAATATTTGAACCCCACATCATCGTCTAAAACTCAATTGTTTTCATCAAGAACCAGTCTGACGAAACAAATGAAGAGTTAGCGCACCAGATGTTTATTTCATCAATGTTCAGAGAACGGTTTTGCGTCAACGATCATCGTGTTCCATGAAAATCAAAGAATTTTGAACTAAGGATGAGTCCCAGTAATCTTCATTCATTAAATCATTTCTGTTACGATTAATGTAAATATTTTTTGAGATATTCAACTGTTCATTGATTCTTACGTGTTTGAGAAGTTTCAAGAATAAGTTGACAAAACTTGAAATCTCGTACCAATTGACCTTTTAACCTTCATTCTCTTGCGCTGTCATTCTGTCAAAAAACTAAGAACTTTGACGCCAAGTGTGATTGCTGATTGCATTTGCTATAACCTATGACGAACAATCACTAGGAGTCATGAAATATTCCTCAACAAAATGTTTGGAACAAACTCTCATGTTTTTGGTAACCCTTCTTCCTATTTTCAATTTGATCTCCCACAGTTTCTTCCTATCAACCAAAGTCGCCATTCCAGATTCTCCAATATGCTCAACTCTCTGATCCTCATTTGGGAAATGATGAATAGTCAAATTGGGGTTGTTTTATACACAGAGTTGCATCCAGGTGCACAACAATTTGCTCTGCTGGTCATTTTCACTCTTATCAAATCAATAATCACTTATGAAACAACTATTATCATCACACAAATGCACAATGCAGAGTGTGTAAACAAACAATTCATACTTCCTAGTCACATGATAATGATGCGATTTTTTTCCATCAGAGCTCGTATTGCTTAGCATTAAAAGGCAATGCCTCGACGTGTTTAGCCAATATACTACATAGTTGAAGGAACACATATGGGTGTATCTGAATAGCACCGAATATTTCATAATGGTGTTCTACGGCAATAACACAAAATTGTGCATATTTTACTGTGTTCGATAAACCAATGAGGTACTTTGTATATCATTCATTTCATTACCGTATCTGATATCAGAATGTCTCCATTGTGTTATTATTTTACAAAATATCATCTCCCATGAAATGTCAAATTTCAAGCAATGACAGCTCTGTCCAACGGGCATAACTTCCTTAAGTAATCAGATAGCTACAAGCCGAAGAAATAAAAAATGTCTATGTTTTCTGTTACATTTTCGTGGGAAATGAGTATCAACCCTTGCTCGTTGAACAATTTACTATTTCTTTTTTATCTCCTCGTAAATGCTCAGGTTTTCGAGAGAACTTGTAGAAATGAAGAAGTTAGTGAATGTATTTCCAGCCATGTGTTTTTGAAGAAAAATTTCCATGAAGAATAGTTGTGAGAAAAAATATCACAGGAGTTGACTGTTCCATCCCCGTTTTATTGGAGAATAGTATGAACCAAGTTTGGTGTATTTAGCTAAATATACAGGCAGAATGAAAAAGATAAACAATATTTTTTTTATTTTCGGAAGGGTATAACTCTTCCGGGAAAAAGTTTGGAATAAATTATATCAAATACCCACCTTGATCATAGAACCACCCTATTACTTTGCCGGTGTCATTTAGATGGTATTCCTACCGAAGTACGCACACGCTACCAGAAATGAGGACCAAAAATAGATTAAATACTCATGGTATTATGTGTTCATCTTTAGGGAGTTCCTGCTGGTCAAGCTAATCAATGGCGAGAAGGCGACCTTCGAGACACCAACGTTCGCAGGGAAGCGGCAGAGAACGCTTGACATGCTGATCAAGGATCTTTATTCGGAGCACATGATCGACAGTCGAATGGTGAGTTTCTGAAATTATCAACTTGTATTTTGAAAACAGAAAAACGTTTATGCAGGTTGATGAACATATGGGACGTGGTCCCTCAGCTGATTTCAAGATGAGAAGTTTATATGAATATATCCCCTAACCTCTTACCTCCTCAGCTATAGGGTGTTGAAATTTCAAGAAGAATTTCGTGTTCCTATCATAACGTCGGTACTAGTCGAAATATTTTCATGAGATTTGACAGGCACCTACTAATCACCAACAGCCATTTTTTGATGCAGAAGATTTTTCAATATATCTACCATTCTTCTTCGCCTTCAGAGATCATGTCGCACATGGACGGTGTCAGCTTCCTTGATCACCGCTACAATAAGAGCGCTCCAACCGTCCGTCCACGACATGTTCGCTAAAGACGAGTGTACAATAAAGATTTTTCTAAAAGAATATAGAACGCCTTTGTGTTTTCAAATTCCGACACACCGTTTTCGCTTAAGTAAATGGAAACCAGTTTGGCTAATTCAATCATTCGACTTTACTTGAATGCAAATCAGACAAAAACACATCTTACATATAAACTACCACATGGTGCTCAGTATATAGGTCGTGCATCTCAAATGCCATGATAATATCTAGAACAGTATTGAAGTTATGATGAGAAAACAAATTCTTCCCTGAAATTTTACCATTCTCCAGATTTTCTTGAATATGTTCATATGAAACTTTCTTCATAAAATAAGCTTGGAAATTATATTTGATATTTTCAGCCATTAATTAAAAAACACCCTGTATATAGGAGATCTCTTCATCCTTTTTACGTCAACATCACGCCCCTAAATATTCTACACGTACTTGAGAAACATCATGTATGCAGGTGTTCGTTTCCTTCACATCTAAGTTAATTAAGGCTACCATATTTGATCGTCCACCAGATCGTGAGATCAAGGTTGATAGAACTGACAGACTTTTTCTTCTCGTTCCATTTGGCTCCTTCCCACGATATTTTCTTTCTGTCATTGTAAAAATCACCTGTGAACCCAGCCAATACATCTGTGGCATTACAGCTCTGAGAAGTCGCGTTCAGGTAACAGTGCGATATCACAAACGTTACATCGCTGCGATGTTCATAAGCGAACACATTCGCGACATGACATCAATGAGATGTCGCGATGAGGCAACTCTGCGATACTACGAATGTTCTATCGCTGCTATTTACAAAAGCAAATAAATCTGCGACATGGCATCTCTAAGATGTCATGATGAGGCAACAGTACGATATCACGAATGTTGCATTGCTGTACACACTACACATGTGGACTTCGTATTTCAGAGAATTCGTCAGAAATTTGATATTTAGATCCTTTTTGGGTGAGAAAGAATACATGAATATACGTTACCCAACAATAGGAAGCTTAAGAAAGCAAAATTCGTAATTTTTTATACAAATACGAGTAACTGATCTCATCCTGATGGAGATGCGTAGGTACTAACGTTGATCTATGGTACTAAGGATAGCACCGCTGAATAGACGATTGAACGAAGAGGAGTCCTGAGGAACTATCATCACATATCAGTGGTGTATTATCACACCATGTTTGAGGAAACTTTCTCACGTTATCTCGCATCACATCGCAGTTTTATCGCGAGAACACATCACTTCCTTATCACAAATAACATACATTGCGAAGAATATATCACAGAGAACTTATCGCAGCGACGTCGCAGGGATAAAACTCGAGTGGAATAAATAACATACCTCTGACTATGCACTCACATTTTTCATCATTTCATCAATTGAAAATGACAAAAATATGAAATGTTCGATTCTTCTTCTTGTATGAAATGACTATTTCTGTTTTGTAACACAAAAAACTACGGAGTACCTTATCAACTCCCCTCTCTAGTCCATAGGTACTCACGATGTTGTTCTAACATAATAAGAATTCTCTTCCGTACCCCACAAATGAGGTAACAAAAATGAGAGATAATCTGAATTAATAGAGATGATTGCAAATTCATCAGTAGAGTCAAGAAAATGAATGAGATTCTAGTGAAAAATCAAGTATTTCAAACTGATACCAAATTTGAATGCGACGAATCTAATAGTTCTTGAGTTATTGTGAAAAACAATATTGATATCTCAACTTCAACACCCTGATGTATCTCGAGAACTAAGCACTTGAGAACCTTTTGTACTACGTGAGCTACGAAGAATTCGTTATCCCAAAAAAATGTCGATTTGAAGCAATACACATAAAATCGAATCAAAACGTTTTGTTTTTTAGTTTCAAACAATTTGTGTTTCAATGAAATCAGAAATGGAGTTCACATCAGTAAGTTCGAACGGAACTATTCAATTTATCGACACAATGTATTTTCATTGGCGGAAACTATACAATGTGTCAGCTCGTAATCACTGTTGTTGACAGGTGTACAACAATTACCGATTGGGCACCTACATAGTAATCTGCATGAGATGAAATCCCATAGGAAATTCAAACATGAGGAATGGCCAGAAGACATATCGACAAATCGATACTCACAACTACAACGACATAATTTCGAAGTAATTCACATAACCCATCATTAATTTCAATTTATGGCGGAGGATCTTTGATATCTAGCGTAGCGCTCAAGTTTCTGGTGAAAGCGCATGTTATCAATATTTTGTAGTTTTTGGTGGAAACGCTTTGAATATTTGGCGAGATCGCTTCTGATTACAAGGCCTTGAATCCTTCTTGAATTCATCTATGCTTCGAAAATAATGCGGTACTCCGTCGATGAGGAGATTCAGAAAGGTGATGACATCTGTCGAATTTATATATTTGTTTCATATTGTTTCGGTTCATTCACTTTTTGTTTTAGTTCAAATCTCAAAATAATTATAAACTTCTGCAAAAAATTAACGCTCCACCAAAAAGTATCCAAAGTTTTGAAATGTGAACATGTAAAATTTCTTCTGAAGGGAGATCATTGGATTTCTTAGAGATATCTGGAATCAACTTTTTCTTCAACGACACATATGTATTTTCTCCTGGTGAACAAATGAAAAATAGGAATCTAGAAATCGTTTTTTTTTTCTGCTTCCTTGGTCTTCGACATATCCATTGACTATTTCTGAGTGTTTTCATTCCATGAACATCATTATTAGTCCAATCTGATCTAAAAATATCTTCTTTTTCCTTCCCTAGTACACGAAAGATTCGTCTGTGCTCGGTGGTCAGTTACTGCCGTGTTGATTCTTACCACTCATCTCTTATTGACTTGTGACATGTGAAACATGTCGTTGCTGTTTTCGTCTAGGTCAGATGACATCCGTCGTGTGCTAGTACAGGGCTAGATGGACAACACGTTTTTGCACTTTGCACTTTGATTGTATCCATGTATACCCCATGGGGAGCCACTTGTTGGTTTCCACCTTATTACTCACTCACTCGGGGGTTTGTTGGGTTTCCCCATAACATTTTCATAATTCTTCATAGTTGTTATAAGAAGTGGACATAACCTTTTCATACCCATGTAAGCACTCTCATGCTCAATACTCTTGTAGACTGTACTGATCACTTACTACAATTTCAGGACATTGATGTAATTTTTACTGTTAAGGCTAATAATAATAATAATAATAATATATGTTTATCAATACAATAATTCCTGATATAAAAAGAGAGATAAAGAAAAACAAATGACAAAGTATATGAGTACTATAAGTAGTAATTTCGATCATCTTGATCTATATCGTATTAAATAAACAACCAAACCATAAAACCTCAGCAGGTTGTCATGGGATGTATGAAAAAAAATTGAGTCTACTAGTATATGCCCTGACCATGATTATATATGTAGGTTCCTACATTTCTATGATACTAACTACAATGTCAATGTCTAGGTCCAGCAAGTATACTCTAAAGTTTTTCTTGATATATTCGATTGAATTGATTTCAAGAATATACATTTTATAAGTTTCTGAAAAGTAAATGAAAATCCTATTAACTAGGTATTGATAATTTGCTGACCTATGGACTTTTCGGCTGCATTTGTTGTCACATAGCGTTTCTATTTTTTTCCAGTTAGATTCTCTATAATGTATATTTGTTTTTAAACAAATAAATGATCATACTGAACATGTATAATTTTCTCAAATTCATTATTTTTGCATCAGTGAATGTACATTTTGGGGAGTAGGTCATTGGTTTTCCAAGCATTACTTCTAGAATTTTTTTCTGTAGTATATCTAGTTTCTGCATATGTGTATAATATGTGCCGCTCCAGCTAAGTATTGCGTACTGTAAACGGGATTCGACGGAACCAAAATAAACAACTCAAATATAAATATAAAGTTTATATAACTGTTTGAATTTTAACAATATGATGGACATATTATATATTTGTCCGAAACATGTAACAATTTTAATAGGTATGTTAATCACATCAAATGTCGTGGAGGAGACTCTCTGTATCATTTAGTATTTGATACTTGACTCCACTTTGAGTAACCATGGACTTCTACCAATGATTAGATATTCATATGTTTAGAAGGTCTTAGGCATGTTTTAGCGAATAACATTCAGTTGAATTCGAATGATCAAAAAGAAGTAGTATAAAAATTCAATTAAATTGAGATTCTTCCTTTCCTATCTGTTTTCTGGGAAACAAAAGAAAACTCAAGTTGATGCCAAGAATTAGTTATCCCAACCATTGTCGTTCAAGATGACAACCTAGTTAGGTAGTTAGTAAGCAAGAACTATATTACCTCCTCGCGTACTAGGTCGCCTACTAGGTTTTCATTCAAATCGACAAATCTTGGTTTGATGCATTGCAGATTAAACCAATTCCCTTTTTTTTTCATAAAATCAATGTATGATTCAATTAGTACTGTCATTTCAATCATTGAGTTCGAACAAAATCTAGATAATCATTACATACCTAATATCCACCTACATAGTAATATCCATAAAATAGTCCAATGATTGGGAATTCAAAAATAAGGAGTAGCCCGAGAACTTGCTGAGTAATCG